GAGACATATGTGGTATGGAGTTAGCCATTTTTACTCTTATCAAAGGTGATAACCTTCTCATCTTTGGCAAAATCTTTAATATAACTATCTTGATCTTGTGATTAGAGATTCTAAATTAGTTGCAGATTCATAATGGATACCCCCCACACAACTTGTTCCAATGTGAAATATCACATTTTCTACAAGAAACTAAAGAAAGGCTTTTAAATGGAAGGGAAGGTGAATTGAGGCTTAATTATTATGGATCCTGGATCCTCCACAATTCATTTTAAAAATCAAATTTGAACAGAGGGAATTTAAAGGGGTCTCTCCTTAGAGTTTTAATGAACTCACTGAGGTAAATGCCTTTGGTATTGAGAGCTTTGGCGAAATATTGAAATTAAATACTAGTGAATTCTCATTACCTCACAATAGGAATGGATGACTTTATATAAATATATTACTGTCTTCCATGCAAATGAACTGTTTGCTGGAGAAAGCAATGGTAACTGTTGTCAAACTTGTAAAGTTTGTAAAGTTGAAAATAAACAACTATAAAGTTGCTTATTGTGTTGTATTAGAAGCTGCTTTAGTTAATGTTATAAAAAGTAGAATGTAAATATAAATTTTGATTTTCTGACTCTGTGTGCAGTTGAATGGCCTTTAGCCGCCATCCAGTGTGAGACTCATGCAGAATCCTGAGAAATGTGGCCAACCTTTAATGCAAACATCACCATGTACATGGGAACAGGAATAATTTTTTTGCTCTTTGCAAGCTTTCCACTTTCGTTTCCAACCTCTTGCTCCTTGCCCTAAACCTTTGTAATAGGGAAAATAAAGTTCAAAAATAAAAAAATGGGGTATATGGCTGACTTTCCTGATTTCTTTGGATAAAGTTTAGTTTGGTTTCTATTAAATATTTATCTGTTCCCTGAATTGGCTTTTAGACTAGAGTGGTGTAACATGCATCTGTGTGTGTGCAAATAGTCTTAGTGTACATTACACTATTCTAACCTGGCAAGAATGGAAAAATGAGGTACTGTGCAAAATGTTTCTAAATTTAGAGGGGTCTATATTTTAAATTGTAGTTTGTGCATATGCTTCTCATTTAACAAATCTCTTCTCTGAACCACTAATTAAATTTTGTAATAAGACCCGATATCATTTTCCTGACCTGGAAAGTACAGTCCACAAAGCACTGCTTCCAGACATCATCCATTTATAACTATGGGTCTTTCACAGGAGGGCTACTTTGGTGGATTGCGCTCTTGCTTAAATTGTGCTATGGCTGAAGAATTAATGGAAAGTATTACACATCATATACAGGTATATTGTAATTCTAGAATTTCATCTTATGTAGACAATCTTGCTATGACTTTGACCTTGTAAAAGGGTTTGACACCCATTTAATTTAACACAGCAGGCACTTCATAAGTACAAATTAATGTTTTTGGCTTTTTTTTGGGTCAGTCAATATAATGAAAGCATTTTATTAGACTTCATTGTATTGGGGTCACCAGCAGGTGGCAGCAGTAACTAAATGTTGCTGACCTGTTTTTGAAAAGATTTTTCTTATTCAATGTGAAAAGTTTTAATGAACTGCTTTTATCTAAGCTTTAGGAGAGTAATTTTATAGGATAACGGTTTTAATGTTAAATCTCTTTGATCTATTGTATGTGATGTTCATATTTACATGTTACAGATTTTTTTTAAAAAACTGTAGCATGGACTGATGGACTGTATGAGATCAAAGCAGTCAATTTTAAGGGAAATCAACCCTGACTGCTCTTTAGAAGGCCAGATACTGAAGATGAAACTCTCATACTTTGGCCACCTAATGAGAAGGAAGGACTCACTGGAGAAGACCCTGATGCTGGGAACGATTGATGGCAAAAGGAGAAAGGAATGGCAGAGGCTGAGGTGGCTAGATGGGGTCACTGGGGCAATGGGTGTGGGCTTGAGTGGACTCGTAGGGATGGTGGAGGACAGGAGAGCCTGGAGGAATGTTGTCCATGGGGTCGTGATGGGTTGGGCATGACTTTGCAACTAAACTAAAACATGGACTGAAAGGGGTTAACTTAAAGCAGCTGCTTGTTATGGGTGAGCCTGTTAGTTAAATGTCTCAACTTATTTTCCTGAAACACACCCATGGTAGGTTGTCAATTTCCTTTCAGTGACACATTGCTATGTCAAATTTCCTCCTCCCTGTACATTCTGGTGTGGATTCAGGGAAATACAGATATACCTATTCACCCATCCCCATGACAAAGAGCTGCTTGAAGGGGGATTTCTATTGAGAAAACCTGATAGTAGGAGGGGGTTAAATAATTCCCACATCTCTGTTGCTGTTGCAAGTAAATTGGCAGGTCCCTGAAATTGCATTTCATTAAAAAAGAAAAAGAAACTTGGATATCCAGTCAGATTTTGTGTGTTATCTATAGCTTGGTCCTTAACAATTAGCTGCAATAGCTCACCTTTAAGCAAAACTGTTAATTAAGTCAAGGGTCAGATGATCTTGAGGTAATATAGAACTTGACAGACGCATGAATATAGCAGCATAGTATACTGAAGTGCTGTTGGCTGCCTAGCAGGTCTTGAGCTCTAATTTGTGTTAGCTATTGTAACTGTTTAAATTTGATCTTAAGTCTAACTTTTAAAAGTCGTACTGTAATTTTTATGATGTTTTTATTGTTTTTATTGTTGTATTGCATTTTTTGACTTGTTTGTGCTGCTATAAACTGCCCAGTGAACCTCAGTTGTTGGGTGCTATGGAAATAAATTTAACCACCACCACCACCACCACCTATGGTTCAAAGAGCAGGGAAGCATGTAGGTTGTGAGAACTGTTGTATGAAGTGGGATGAAGCTTTTCTCTCATCCCCTTCCCACTTTGAGGCCTTTGCACTGCATTGCTATGATTCTGCAGATGCAACCTTTTGCAGGGTGTTAAACTGAGGCAAGTTTATCATGGCTGAAGAAAGGCATTGAGTTTTTAGAAGACAGCACAGGATCTGTTGGCAGTAAGGATGGTTTAAAGTGGTCATTGTGGATAAAGATACGCTTTGCCAGCTACTTGACAATAATCTCAAGTCCTTATTCACTAACTCAGTTTTCAGAATTTCAGCAATGCTTGCTTATGCCTAACAGAGCTTTCTGGATTGTGCCTGTGGTATTCATTATGGGGTTGAGATATGAAATATACTCACATTCATAACTAATAATTAAAACAAGAGTTGGAAGTGTCTGAACTAGACATAATTCTCTTAAATTATACATTGTTTTTTTAATTGTAAACTACTTTCATGAAAGTCAGTGCAGAAACCAGATGGCAGTGTCAATCCGACAGGTTCAGGAGCTTTAACAGAACAACTACAATAATACTGCAGAGGACATTCTTCACACTTTCTGTCTCCATAGGTTACAAATACAGGTGTATGATCATATCCATCAGAGAAAAGTACATTTACTGGTAAATTTGCCTAATTAGCACAATACTATAGTTAAAATTAAGGAACACATATATCATAGGCATAGGTATGGGTTAAAAGTGCAGGAATGGGACTCAGACATTCTGTGTTCTATTACCCCCTCAGCCATGGAGCTCACTGGGTGACTTTGGGCCCATCGCAGACTTCTTGTTGTGAGAATATGAATGAGATGAGAATTATGGAAGCCACCTTGCGTTCCTGGAAGGAAAAAATGACAGGACAGAAATAGAATGAATACTTGTGTTAATTTATCTGGAATAATGTTTGCTTTATTGTATGACTAAAAATATGCAAAGCATTTGGATTTGTTTGAACACTATGTTAAGGGCAAGTTGTTTTCGGACAGACAAAAAACATGTGGTATATTTTTGCCCAAAATCCAGTAAAAGATAGATTTTCAAATTACTACCATATGTGTAGAGGACTTGCTTTGAACAATATGTTCTTAGAAATACCAGAAAAAATGTTACAGTTAACTTTCTTCAGGATAAAGTGTTACTGCAGCTTTACAATCATTTCATAATTTTGAGGTAGTTTAAAAATATTCTATTTTAAATAGTAATTGAAATAAATTTTGTTTCAAGTGTGTGACAATAGTAATATTCATAGCAATACAGACATATACAGTAGCAGCAGGAAAAATACTATTGTAGCCTTTAAACAACTTTTTTTCCAGTAGAAGCACTGACACTGTTCTGAGGTACATCACTGGAGAATTGTAGGAAGCTGTCTTGCTGTCAGGGATGCCAAAAGATAAATGAATATATCAGAATATCAGATACCCTTCTATATCAGTTAAGTTTATGAATGCATGGGAACATTAACAGGAGAGTGATCTTTCAAGTTTTCTTGGATGTCTATATACTAAATGTTTAAATATGAAATATTAGAGATCTTAAGAAACAAAAAACTTTTCAGTTGCAGTGCTGCATATACTTAAGCCACTTAAATACCAATGAAGTTAAATGCGGTTTAAGCTGTTTAAGTGTGCACAGGATTCCAGCTAACTAAAGCAAAGCAGAACTATTGCATTTTATCTTGCTTTGATTAAACAATCTATATTTCTTGAAACAGGATGAACTGGAGTTATTGGCAGGCAGAATAGATGACATAAATAGGAAAATTTAAAGACTGCAATTTTAGTCTAAATCTTCAAAAGGCCTTCAAAGTGCTGTTAAATTTGTGTAGAATGTTTATGGACTTAGTACCAAATCTGAAGATCTGTATGAGCATGCAAAAGCTTAGTCAGCTGCCTATTGACCCCCGTGCCATTTCAAGATTGTATTAAACTCCTTTTGATGATATTTTTACTTCAGTGGTTCAGGTGAATGTGTTGCTGCAAATGTTTTGACACCTCAATTAAATATGCATGTTGTATATACTTAGTGAGAGATATCCATAACTAAAAGTCAGATTACACATTTATGCAAGTGCACATGTTAAATCCCTGATGGCTGCTGTTTCTATGGAAAAGCAACTTTGGGAAGGGGGAATTGTCTTATAATCTGCAACTATTCCACTTTTTTAATGCAGAAATTTGAAAGGTGTGATTGTCACACTGAGTGAGAGTGGCCATCTGCAATGTTCCTACCTTGGCACAGACCCTTCTTTATTTCAAGCTCCTAAAGTTGAAGCCAGGGATATAAATTATGAAGAATTTGATGCAGAAATTAATAAACTTCAGAAAATCATTAAAGAAGCCAGAAGAATCAAAGGTAGATATTTCTTTGATGACATTATATTGATTTGTCTTGTCTCCGTTAGTATTAAATTCTTCATTCTTCAACAAAATGAAAATCATTACTGCACTTTGTTGCAGAGAAATAATATATTGGTGAACTTTTGTTAGTACTGAATTATAGTTGAACAATTTGAGAAAAAGCCATTTTATTCAGAGATGTACTTTTGAGCCAGCTTCCATCCTTAATACAGGACTATAAATGCACTTGAACTAAATTATGCAAATTCATCAATTTTAGTTATTTTCATTAAATTTAAGTTACTATAAAATGACTGTCTATAATAAATATTCTAAGCACACCCATTATAATAAATCAATATTTATCAGTAGCAAATCTATAATATTCAAACACAAGTGTACAATTGATATGGTTTTATACTTGAGGTTTGGTCAGTCGGTAAACAGGCATCAGCATTTCACAAAGGAGGGAAGCTCATTCATAAGCAAAACTTGGATGTAAAGGAGATCTTGTAAGAACAAAAGAAAATCCTGCCCTTAAAAATGACTCTGATGATGGGCAGTGTAACCTGTATTTCTACACATCATAAAGCAGAATAAAAACTTACATTCTACTACAAGTCATCCAATGCCAAAGAGAAAAACTTTTCTTCCCACTCATTCTTCCTTGCCCAGTCTGGCTAAGGGCAATGTCTAAGGAGCAGCCATTTGTCCTCATCTTGTTTGCTGAATTCAAATTGGATGTGCATTAGATATTGTCAGACACATTGTGCAATTAGATGCATGGTGTCACTTTCATAAAATGCACACTTAGCTGCACATCTGCCCCAAAAGCAGTGCAGTGCAGTTCAGATAGATGCACTGTAGCTACGATTTACCCATAGTCTTTGCACCACAAGGGAGCCTTGTAGTTTAAGGCAAGGATAGGAGACCTTCATCCTCTGGACTGATTATTTATAAACCCCAACAACTTCTCAAGACCCTCCCTGTCTTTCCTTCTTTGGGGAAAAAGCCTGTAGAGGCTTCAAGACTGAGGCACGTTGCCTTCCAGTGGGCCCTCCTACATTCCACCATTTCCCACAGTCCTCCTTTCTTGCCCGTTGATATTTTTCTTATTTTATTGTTACCATAACCCAGTCAGTTCACATGTTTTTCCATATTGCACAGGGGTGGGTTACCCATATATTACAGATGAAATGTTACACTGAGGGAAATCCAAGATAACATCCAGAGGCTACCAGGAAGGACTCTGCTTGGTCTGTGGAGCAATCTGAAACATCAGCAGATAGGAAAGAGGGCCCATGGTTGGTGCCCACAGGAGCCTAGTCACCAGCTTGAGTAATGGTGCCGTTACTGATACAGATAAATGCTACTTTTAACTTAATGTATATTAATCCTCATGTTGAGGTTTGTTGTGAAGTATTTACAGCACATGCCAGGATGTAATTGCTGAAATGGGGCATACTAAAGTTCATTAAGTTCTGTGGTAGAATGGTCAGATTTTATTAGGGCAGGTAATTAATACTGAGGTTTTCAGATATTAGCAATATGCAATGTTAAATAGTTGTATAATTCAGATTGTCATTTATATCTTATGGGTGTTGGTATTCAGAAAGTGTGGATGTGCACACATGGACAGGAGCTCAGGAGGAGGGTTCTACTTTCAGATTAGACTGAAAATATGGGAAGGAGCTTGTTACTATCAGACAGATTCATATTCATTCCTCTTCTAGGTGCAAGTACTCACCAAAATGTGTAGCCTGATCTTAACTTAAAGATCCATCTCTGTATGAGCCTTGCTATTATGTCATAGACTGTTTTGAAGTAATTAACTAAATTAATTGCTTATTTCTTGCAGATATCTTGCCTAAATCTGAAAAAAATGAGGATTTTGCACTTGTTGTGACCGTCTTGCCTGATTTGGATTCAGTGACCGTATGTAAACTTGAATATGGAGGTTAAATTTTTAACAATGGCAAAGACTGAGTCTAGAACTTGGTGTAGAACTAAGAAATTTCCTTCAATTTCTTTTTCTTTTCTTTTCTCTTTGAATAGTATCCCCATCCCATATCTGAAGTCATTTTACAAATTGTCTTCTTACTTACAAAAATGGCATGCCAAATTGTTGCAAGGGAACTAATGGTCTGAGAATATAAGACAAAGCTTTTCATGGAACCCACTGTGCTGTTCTTGGACTCCTAGCTCATATTATTCATAGTCAATTCAATTGTATTATTTATAACCCTAGTTCAGCAAATAATAACAAATTATTAAGAATATTACAAAAATAAAAAGGACAAATTAAGCTTTGGTTTATAATGCAGTCTTTATAAATACACACGCTAAGACTGCTTTTTCCCTGTCAGAGTTTAAGGTTGAAGTCCTAAATATATTTATGAAGAAGATAGTCCTACTGAACTCAGTATGCCAGTTTGCACAATGCAGCAAGCAAAATAAATTCAAGCAGCTTAATTCCTCTGTGGCATGTACTGCTCATATTCCAGCAGGATTTCCTTATTTACCTTTGCTGGCATTACTTGCTGTGTTGCCTGAACCAGAGAGACATGGCTTGTTGAGGGGGCAGCAACCCATGGATTGGTGTAGGGTTTTTTGAAGGTTGTTTCTCATGCACATACAAGCAATTCTAGTCAGGTCTGAATGACACAACAAGCTGTGCCTAGGCAGGTAATTAGGGAAATGGTACCCAACCCACACCAGGGCTTGAAATGGTTGAGTACAGGTTGTTAAACTATGAGTTCTTCCTGAACAATGGGTATTCATGTTGTATGAATGTAACCATGCTAACAAATCATAGTTTGTAAACCACAAACAGCCCATGCAGAGAATCTATGGTTTGTTGCTGGGTTGTAAACTGTGGGTTGTTGTTTTTTAGGGATCTTTTCTGAGTTCAAACAGCATGATAATTCATAGTTCAGCAAAAACTCATACTCAGCCCTTGAGTATATGTTGTCATGTTGTCTGCACCCAGTCTCACTGCCCCAGTTCACACAATCACAATTAGTTAAACAAAGTATGGTGCCTTGTTAACTCCACTGTGGTTGCTGGTTAGATTTCCCTAATTACCCTTCCTTGCATGGGTTACTGCACCATCTGAACCTATGTGGCATGGCTTGTTTGAGGAAGACAGCAATGCTGAAATAACTCACGTGTTGTTATTGGATTATTTGAGGGTTGTTTCTCCCTCCAATAAACCATGCCACCTAGATTCAGATGACACAAAAAGCCCCAACAATGTGGGCAATTATGGAAATAGTGCCAAACACACAAAAACACATACCAGAGATTTAAACATGCAATTGAAGCTTGCTTTGATTGTGCAGCCTGGTCATGAGTAGAAGGACTTAACATATGGTTAAGCATTCTATTTGTATAGTGATAAGTGTTGTTTACGATTATTTAAGGGGCAATAAAAATGTCATTTTATATTAAAGCAATATTAATTCAGTAGAAAAATTCATATGGTGGCTACTATGCAATAAATTTGATAAACACATGATCATACAACAGATATACTGCAAATCTACTCTAAATAAGAGTATTTAAAATGAAAAGTCAGTCACACCTTCAGAAAGGCAAGATGCACCAGGACACTGTGAAATTTCCTGGTTGTGAAGTCACCACCAGACTGTAGCCTCTTTAATCCATAAATTGAAGTACTCACTCTGTAACCTTCTATGAACTCACACTGCTACATTTATGCATATGGAATTAGTAGGAAGAAAGAAATTTAGATTATCATTTTTTTAGAGTAGAACTGTTCACTAACACTAAAGAAAAATCTTACATAGTATTTGCATAATTATAACATATAATACTACTAGGTCATCAAACATTTCCTCAATTATTAAACTCAATAAATTGTACAGGAAAATCAGAACATGTTTATCTGATCTTACCCAAACACTGCCAATATCTACTTAATGTGAGGATGCTGTGCGTTTTCATGTTTGACCTAAAGCTAGTGCATTGTGTGCAGTGGTCCTGCTTTCTTAATGCAACAGACATTTCATTTTAAAATTTGTGCTCACAGTAAATGTAGACAGTTTTAAACTTAAAATTCATTTTTTGCTGTTATAGTACTGCAAACTTTGCACAGCTATGGGAGAGTGTGTGGGATCCTGTTCTGCAAATGACTCTGCTTCATTGCTAATGCTGGCAGGGTTCTCAGTTGATGAATGATGACAGCCTAAACCACAGGCAAAAGAAACTGGCTCCCTGTAATAAACTATATTTACACACCACCCAGCGCAAGTTTATTTGGTGCCAGCTGCTGCCTGCTTCAGAAGCTCAACTGAGCTTCCTGTTCCCACCAAGAATTTTCAGTCAAATGTTAATCCACCACTGCTTGCCTCCAGCTGTCAGTGTACACTGACTTACTTCAGACAGCAGATCAAACCATGGTTTCTGTTCAACCATACTTTAGAATCCAAGTATACAATAGAAAAATGCTAGTTTATTGCTGTTTGCCTGTTTGGATTTATGCCCATTTAGCATTTGCATTCATAAATTCAATAACCTCTGGAAACTAAGAACCAGAGGTACGTTGATCTGTTGATTCAGATATCATGCCACATTGCAGGTTGGCTTCTTTAACCATGATCTGGAATGATGTCCAAACTGAACTGGTGCCTCAGTTCTCACACATTATAATTCCTGTGCTTAGACACTGTTAGAAGAAGTGAACCAGTTGTCATGCTTCTCTGAGAACTAATTATTTTGTTAATGACTACATCCTAATGCTTTGGTCAGGGTCTCATGTTGCAACAACAAAATGTATTTTTTTAAATGTGTGTTACTGTGAATTATTGAATGTGCTTTGCATGCTGCCCAATTGCTTCTCTTGAAAACCAGAGAAATATCTCATAGTTAGTTGTGCTATTTCCTCAGTTTGTTGGGAAAGAGACAAGCCAGAGTTAATGGTTTACACATTATGACAAACTGCCTAGGACAAAGTATTTCTGAGTTGTTAAGCTGCTTCCACTAGCAGAGGGAAGCAATCTGTTAGCAGGAGCCAGCATACTCACTGATTCACAGTATGCCATCATTTAAATAAGGTCATATTCATTCAGGCTAAGTAAGCTAAGAACTGCTCTCTTTTCAGGCACTTCATTTTTCCCTCCTCCAGATTTTTATATGAACATGTGATTACTCTAGTTTTTCTGTATTACTAATTGAAGACGGGGCAAATATACTCATCTAAGAGAATTGCTTTTACCTGTATTTTAGAAGTGTCTTTATAAGGGAATATCAATATGAAAGATGGAAATTGCCTATTAATGACATTTTAATTGAGGTTGTATTCAGAGGGGCTGGCAAAAAGTTCCCGTGTGAACTTTCTACTAGAATGTCATTGTCCTTTGTTTCTCTGTTATATAAGTAACTTTAAACAAAGATTTGGAATGACCATCCACATCACTTTTTATGCATCTTCATTTTTATCATTGTCCCATGAGTTCAAATTTAGCCATCTGAGTTATAGAGCATTTGTTACATATAAATTAATTATGGATTTGCTGCTATGTTTCTTTCCCTACAGCAAGCTATTGACAGTGAAGTAAGGGCAGAGGTGGTTCCTTCAGTGACAATAAAGGTATTCTTCTTTGTTCAGAGGAGAATAGAAAGTATAAGATTCAAAAAGTGCTTAGAGTTTTTGATCTAGCTGTCTTACCCATTTGATCAAAGAAAAATTTTAGTAAAACGTATTCCTGAATTGTAGTTGAGTGGTGGTCTTAGATATTGTACAGAAGTGAATGAGATGTAAGTGATCTAAAATTCTTATGATAAATATCTTCTGAAATCATAGAGGTAAGTTGCAAAGATACTTTTCATTATAAAACCACTATTTATGTTCATAACCCAATATTTTTCCAAGTATAGGGTTAGCTTCCTTAGAAAGAAACCATTTCCTCATTTAATCAGAACTGTTTAGGGGTTTGATATGGTTGGTCACTAGCTAAAACTTACAGCCCATTGGGGACCCTGCTTCTCCCCTTGCTGCTCCCTGTTCATCTGCCCCTTCCAAATTATTAAAGTGACAATAAAGGGGAAGGATTAGTACCTTCACATTCCTTGATCCCTTCTTCTGGGCAGTGGTATAGTTTCTGTTCAGAAGGAGAGGGCAAGTGAATGCAGTAAATGTGCCAGAAAGGTAGGCCCACCGAGGGCATCTTCTCAGGGCTTCCTTAAATCTAGAGCTAGCATTGCCTTGAACTTAACCCAGTGTCTTAGATCAGGAGATGAGCCATTCCCAATACTTCACCTTTTTTCAATCAGTCTGATGGAAGAAGTTGTTCACTCCACACTTTGGGATGCTTGCCAGTAATGAAAATTAAATAGGTAACACTGTTTTTTAAAAACATTCTTGCTGCTATAGAGTTCGTCCCCACATGTATGTGAAATTATTGGCCTTGCTCCCTTTTTCATTTCATGGGCTTACTCCTGGGATTATCAGAAGATTAAAAGCTGCTGGGTAAAGATTACTTTCTTTAATTATGCTTGGAGAAGGAATTACGTAGGCTTATTACAGCAACTTTCAAAAATTGTTCTTTATAATTTGTGAGAATGTATGTACATGCGTTGTGTGTATACTTATGCACTCATGCTTTCAGGCAAATCATTTTAGCTCCACAATGATTAAAAAGTTACAGTATTCAGAAATTTTCATTTATATTCCAGTCCTTTGCATACTTCAGACCAGTTCAGTCAGATTGGTTTCCAAATAGGCATTGTGGTCAGCTGTTGAAATTAAAAATGGCAAACATTTCACTAGGACAAATTGCCTGAGTAAGCCAGAGCCATAACTTGGTTCCCAGAGTATGAAATTATGTACTTAATCATAACTAATATAGTTTGAACCCCTTTAAGGTTCAGTATGTTTTATACAAGTGTCATAATGATAGAGGAAGGAGAATCCTGGATTTAGTGTTTTAGCAAACTAAGCTGAATATAGACATGTATGCTAACTGGAGTGGGATAGAATTATATTTAGTGAATAATTGCATCAAATTTATAAAAATCTGAATGCATGGCATGTACATAGTTCTTTAGATGATTCAAATTACTTGTTTAATGCTATTATGAAATCATATTTTTAAAATGCTAAGTCATTTATTTTGCATGCATTGTTGTGTGCTGTTCTGATTATTCTGCTACTTTTTGTAAATATCTTTCTAATTTTTACCTCCAACAGATCACAGTAGAGAGCAGACTGTTGACACTTACAAAATTATCAGTATGTGTTCAGCCTCCCTTAGCACTGACTCAAGACAAATTCATATTGGAATTAGGTAAATGGCTTATTACAAATTACAGCCATCTTTGCCTTTTGTTTTGTTAGCAAGCTACTAGTCTCCTGTCAGTCAGTGTTCTGCAGTATTCAGAAGTTCAGATTTGCCAAACTACACTACTTTTATGAGCTATATGTTTGTAGATGGTTTTGCTCTTCACTCTCCTTTTTAAGAATGAATTGCTTTAGCAAAGAGGCAACCTTTGCAAAATTATGAAATGTGCAGGCTCATCTCCCTTTGCTATCATTGACTTCATTACTTCTCAATTTCTGTGCTCGTATTTCAAGCAATTTGTCAGAAGGAGTAATAAAAAATACTAAACGTGTCTAGAATGAAACTGGAGTTTAAAACAAGTCTGTTTAAAGAGAAGACTAATGGAGTGAGGCCATATAGGCATCTCTAGCCCAGTATAAATTAGAGGCAGGCAACCCTTTTGGATCTGCAGGAACATTTGACATTTTAAAGAAGTGTCTTGGGGAACAAACTGCTGTGCAGGCCATATACAATCACAAAGAGCTAACTTGCCCTTCCTCTGTAGTTCTGACTTTTCTTTCCTTTCCCTCAGGTTTCTCTTCTCAGTTGCCTCTCTCTTTTCCCCACCTCAAGCACTTTTTTGCACAGGAGTTTTTTTTTTCACCTCATCACTACATTGACTTTAATGAAAGAGTGAAAAAGAGGGCCCTGTCAAAAACAGTGGGTTGGGAAGTCTACTCCCTGTCAAAGTCTCGTTGCCACAAAAGCTCTTGATGGGGGGTGGGCTACTCCCAAACCAATTTTGGTAGAGGATTTCCCCCCTAGTTCAAGTCCTCTCACCTTCCGGACAATGGAATGGTGGTGAGTGGAGGGGAGCACAAGGAGCCTGGTGAGCGTGTTTGGGTGGCTTGGGGAACATTGTTATAACTTCTCTGTGAAAATATCCAATTAAGTTGAAAGCAAACTTACAATATTGATATGTCATTGAATTATTATAAGATCAGGTTTCAAAGGCCTGAGTTCTCCCTGACTGAGGGCAGCAATGCTTTGCATTTAACACTTCCCAGTTGATGGTATGAATGGCTTTTAACTGCTGTGATTTTCAAAAAAAGTTTGTAACGTGGAACTGGGATCTAAAGTAAGATGCACACATCCTTCTAGACCAGGGGTCTCAAACTCAACTTACCTGGGGGCCGCTGGAAGTAGAGGCTGGGTGAGGCTGGGCCGCATCAAGTATTCCACCACCGCAGTGGTGGTGGGCCGCTCATCCCGCGGCCGGCCCGGGCGCCACCGGCGCTTTGAAGGCCAAAGGGCCCCTCCCCTGTGCCCCGCCCGTACTGGCAATTGGCCCGCGGGCCGCAAGTTTCAGACCCCTGTTCTAGACATTGTTGGATCCCTTAGATTTGGATCCAGCTTTCTGGATTCTGGCTAGTAACTATTAGTAGTATGCAGATGGAGACTCAGAATCACTTGTAGAAGCTTACAGTCCACTTAATAAACCTATTCTTTTGCTTGGAAGCTTCCTGTTTTTACAGTGTTTCAGATTGGCTCAACATACCTGTCATTGTGGAAATGGCTCCCTTCTTTCTGAGCCAAAGCTGTGGCAAGTGAGGCAATTTTGAAATGACATAGTAGTTTCCTAACTTTTAAAATGTTGTATAATTCATACAGTAGTTAATAAAGTCATGATGTTTATATACCTGTAGATATCAGTGCATGGAATCACCTAGCTTTAGGAGACCTATGCACTTTTATAAGTAAAATTTTGCTTCTACATTAGGAAATATATTGGACTGATTCTTATCATAGAAGAGTAGTTCACTGGAAATGAAGGGATTGATTGATTGGTAAACATTATTTTCATCAGTTTTGAGTATACAAATAAATTGTGTTTACAGATAAACTTTATTGCATGTATTTGTGTGTGTGACCCATTGGTATTGTTTTGTAAGTATCTCTTTTTCTGTTGAACTTTCTTTTTGTATATCTGTGTTTACAGAGTCATCTGTACCTAAAACAGTTGTCCTCTCTGCCTTTCTAAAGGGGAACAGCCCACCAGCAGATATGGAAGGTAGTGCTCTAGCTTCTTATAGCACACCAACAGGTAAAAAAAGTGAACAAACATTTTTGCATTGTTTGTTGCAATGTGTATCTTCTGTGCATGCATTCTTCTGTGTATCAGTGATGTGTACTGATGTGTACTATTCTAATGTGTTTGTCAGAGCAACTGAATTAGCTTTGTGGCACAACTGAAGTTATCAGTTTGCTTCAGCCCTTGAACTGGAAAAGGCCACCTCTAAGTGTTAGACATTAATTTAAGCTTTTACCAGTTCCACTGTTCTGTCTCCAGCAGTCAAGAATTGCTGTGATTCACTGCTGTATAGATCTTGTGGGTTAAATGGTTACACACTCTTATTATTCCCGCAGCCTTTTGGAGCTATTTAAGATGTTCTGGAAGCAAATCATTCCTCAAATAATATAGAAGTCAGTTTAGTAGACGTTCCTTGATATAATTCTAACGAATCAGTTCCTTTTATCTGTGACTTATATGAAAATTAACTTTAAAGGATAATAACTCTGTCAAGTGCAGAGCTAAGCCATAAATTTAGAACAAAAGCAACTAATCTGTAAGAGCATACTTACAGACATGGTTTGTACAATCAGAATAAGCTACAATGTATACAACCATGCATATATAAATATTTAAGTCACCGTGACTTATTTAAAACATGGCATGTGCAGAGTGCACTTTCCATAATCACTGCCTGCTCTGCCTTCCCATCTTGGACAGATCCAGGTAGCATGGTTTGTTGGGGAAAATAGTTGTCCGATAACCGTATAACAAGCCACGTCTTATTAGAGCATTGTTTTCCCTCCTCTAAAGAGCTATGCTGCCTTTGTTGAGAAAACATGACACACTGCATCTGGACAGTGATTATGGAAATAGCTCCCAGTGCACGCTGCAATTTAAATAATCCACCATGGGTTATTTTGATCATGCAAACTAGCCCATATTCCTTGATGCACATTTGGTAACCTTCATTCTCTGTAGTGACATGAGCTAGTAAACAACTACCAAGGAATATTCATAATTACATTCAAATTGGCACAACTAATACTTTGAGAAAGAAAAACTGTAATTAAGTAGTTTATTTAGTAACCAGTGAATTTATATAATAATTATTGAACCTTAAACATGATGTCAAATTAATGAATCATTTGTGGAACTGGCTATAGAAACTACTCACTACTCCTTTTGCTGTCTCATGTTGTCGTTGTAAGTTGCGAAGTCGTGTCCGACCCATCGCAACCCCATGGACAACATTCCTCCAGTCCTTCCTGTTCTCCACCATCCCCCGGAGTCCACTTAAGCTCATGCCGACTGCTTCAGTGACTCCATCTAGCCACCTCATCCTCTGCCATCCCCTTCTTCTTTTGCCATCTATTGTTCCCGGCATTAGGCTCTTCTCCAGTGAGTCCTTCCTTCTCATTAGGTGGCCAAAGTATTTGAGTTTCATCTTCAGTATCTGGCCTTCTAAAGTGCTGTCAGGGTTGAGCTCCTCTAAGACTGACTGTTTTAATCTCGTTGCAGTCCAAGGGACTCTCAGGAGTCTTCTCGAGCACCACAATTCAAATTCTGTGCTGTCGCATAGCACAGGCCAAAATAGAAGACCATTGCTACAGAATTTCAAACTGTCCCCCTATGCTTTTAGGGCCTTGAACAAGAAACAGCTAAGTAACAGAAAGCAGCAATGAACCCCATACAGCAGGTTCATTTGCTTATCTATAGAGAACCACAAATGTAGCACCTAGTTGCTTAAAAGACTGTCGATGATGGATAGGCAACACGACGCCCAGAAACACCAATACATCCCCAGGCATGTTTCTTTGTGTCCACCGAAGTGCCATATCCTTCCCATTGCTTTTTAATTAACAGATTTTCTTAACAGCAGCTGACACTACTATACAATAGTAATCAAAACAGCAGGATCCAGGTTAGTGTGCAGGCGATTGAATCCCACCTTTACCTTATATTTATGAGTCTTTAGGACAAGCTACTTGTCCTTTGCTGTACCTCTTATGGCAGCCACTTTGTCTTGGTGCCCAGGGCAGTTTCTCCAATTGCTGAATGTGTCCACAAGCCAAAAAAGTTACTTCTATCTGGTGTAGAGGGTCATCACCAGGTGGCCTTACCAAGCCACAGACATGCCAATGATGGTAAGGATGAGAGAATCTCAAAATTAAGGCACATTATATTGATATCACTTCCACAATCTTTTCCTGTCTGCTTTTCATTTAACAGTTTATATTCTTTTTTTAAGAGGAAAATAATATGAAATACATTTTCTTTTAAGAAACTATGCTTCTTTGATATACTTAATATTTAAGTGTTTGTTTATTTTCAGTTACCTGTCATATAGGGTTTATTTCTTTTCCTTCTCCTTTGCTTTCATTGCTTATATGGTAGATCTCAATCCAGAAGGTGAGTGATGGACACACAGGACAAAAACAATATCTGTGGAAATTCTGCTTTGGATTAAACAAAAACAGTACTAAGTGGATTTTTTGTTCTACTATAACTGAACTGTTGAGGAGATTGTGCTGTTTTGAATGGTAACTGTGCAGTTTAAACTTAAATTTTCTCAGAACCTACTTTTTGTATTTAACTCTGCTGTGGACATAGCTACCTGCCAACTGAGATAACATTTCATGCATAGGATGAAGTGGACTCCAGTTCACCAAAACTTATTTCATAATACTTAGTAAAATGCTGCAGAAATTTTTAATTATTTATCAACTAGAAAACAAACAAAACGTAGACTGTATTCAGCTATTTAGAAGTGGAAGTGCAATTGCTGGTGTTTTGTTTGGTGCACAAACGGATATCTGCTGCAACCTGTCTGCATCAGCTTAAGGCAAGAGTGCCCAGGCGTGTTATTTTACTATATAAGTGAATGGCTGCAATAGACTCATGGATAAAATGAAAAGGACGTACTTAAGGATACCTGCTGGGTGATCCCTATTTTCTTTGGAAAATAGATATAATCCTACTCTGAACAGTTCTGATGTCCTGTTCTAGCTGGATCAGATTCTCTACTAGACAAATATAGAGATGAATCCAATGGGTGAGTTAAGCAAGCAAATGGTCAAGTACAAAGGTTTCCATGTGTTACATGATCGGCCAAAGGGAGGAGTGGCCCAAATACAGACAATGGGCAAACACAGTATTACTAGAAAGAAGGTGGTTTCTGGAAAAGAAGTCTGAGGCACAGCCAAGATCAAAACATGGGAAAGTAGTCAAGTAGAAATGCAGTCCAAAAAGCAGTGTTAGGCAGCAGCTCAGAGGTCAGTAGCATGAAGGTTCAAATGAAAGGCAAGATCAGGTTTACAGGCCATTGGAGCTAAACATGAGACATTTTTGCAGCAATATCTACACTGAATCTGGAGTATATATAGCCAGAACCACACCCTGGACTCAGCTATAGTTTATTACAAACTCTCTAGTGAAAGTGTTAATCGTGAGGAGGGCCTTGTTCCTGAAGACTCCTTTCTTCAAATGCTTATTCTCAAAGGAACCCGATTGGGCTGCCTCTTGTGCTGAAGGCCCTGCAGAACAAGATTGTTCTCTGGGGAGAGCTCTGCAGTCATCACCCCTGCCTCCACTACCATCTCTTGTTATGGATGACTCATTGGTCTATTTATGACTGGAAGCTCTAGTTCATTGTGGGAGGGGAAAGGTCTTCTAGCAGGCAAGTGATATTTGCATCCCAATTACTTTCTTCCAGAGAACTGGGTGGACACTACTAAGTCTCCTTTTATCTGTGTGACCCTGGTTAAAGTTTGGTACTAAAGAACTGTTTTGCATGCTTGTGTGTGAGTGCCTGCATGCATATGCATTCACACAAATTGATTGTTTTGTTAGAGGAATTTAGCTAAGGAAAATCTGATTCAAAAGTGATTAACTGTACAGTTTATTACTTAGCTTGTATTGAAATTTTAAAATACATACACAACATATCAGTTTTTCCTGTGTCTGTCAATGAAAGCCATGAAATCTAAAAAGAAATTACCAGATGAAAATGTCTCAACTCATATGCAATTTGACCCTGATGCTTACCATACTCCCAGGTAATTTTGTTTTATTTTATGACTAGAATGCTAATATTTGGGTACACTTATGTTTTAATTTTATTTATCTCTCATAGCGATTTTTTTTAACATGGGAGATTGAGGTACAGGCAACAATCATTGCAGATTTGCATTCTTAAGATAGGAATGGATGTGACATATTACTTTGGCCTGCTCAGAATGTCTCTGCATCTAAATTACAGTGGTTTTTTTTTTAATTTAACCAACTGATTTGTTACAGGTGCACCCAGAGTTGCTCAGTGCAAATTTCGATTACCCTTGCGGTTAGTTGGCTTTCCAGCTCAACCTTCAAAAACAGCAAACCACAAGTTAACTATTGACACCAATAAACCTCCAGTAAGCCTTGTTACACTTTTTCCAGGTAGGACTTCAAATAACATTACACATATACATTGCAGGAGTATACCTGGAATGTTTTAGTGATGGCATATTTATGACAAAAAGCTCAAATGAAAGATACCTATTTTGCCATCTGTCTTGCTTTTTCAGATTATCAGGTATGTAGTTCATATATTTAGAATTTTGTCAAAGCAGTTAAGTTTCTGTAATGTTTGACTATGTAGAAATTTGAATTACCATCTCATAGCTTCCTAGTGAATATTTTGATAAGAATATTTTGACTATACATAAAATCCCAGCAATCTCCACTCTGTTGATGTGATAGGGAGAGAAGAATACTTAGGGCAAATGAAACAGCAAAAATATGGTCTGTGGTTTTTTTCTATAGGAATTGCCATGTGCTTATTTTCAGTTTACTTGAATGTGGGAAGGAGATGTATAATACTGATAGCAAGCTGAGAGAAGGGGAGAGCTGAGAAGCCAAATCTTGTGGCTTAAACATTTTTAGAGCTACTGGCAAAGAAAGAAATGTATCACACATTGGTTATTAGGGGCCCATTCCTGCATCAGAGTTAATTAGTAATTATAAGCATATGGGCAGAAATAAATCTGCTTTTTAGGCAGATGCCAGAAGGGGTAGCATTGAGCACCAGCATCGTAAGGAATAAAGCATTCTAAGTTCTGTACGGGGCTGGGGGTGTAGCCTAGGTTACAGCTCTTTAAAGTCTCTTGGGAAATTGAAGAAGGAACTGACAGATCACTTATGAGGAAGTAAATAGAATTAGCAGCATGGGATTCCAAATAATGTTTAAGGGTTAAATGTTTAAGTTTAAGCTGTAAAAGTGTTTGTTTCTGCAAGCACAACTTAAATACAGTGACGTGTATTTTATATTGTTATTTATGTATTTTAATTTATTTATTTGTAAGCCGCCCCGAGGCTTCGGCAAATGGGGCGGCCTAGAAATTTTCAAAATAAATAAATATATCGGTTACTGACAGGCACCCTTCTATCTTGGTACTCTGTAGAGAGCCCTAGATCTTTGGTGCTGATAATGCAGAGTTGTCTGATTGTTTGGGCTGAAATTTTGTGTCATTAGTGCAGGAAAGGAAACATCCCTGAGGTATCCTAACACAAACTGTCTACTTCCTACTAATACATTACTGCATTTAAATATATACTGGTTGTAGAGAGGCTGACAGTTTGCTAGTTGCTCCTTCCAGCCTTCCTGGTAGACAAAGTGCTGATTTTATGAGTGCACAATTAAAAATTCCCCTCATGCCCAAACTTGTCTCAGTGTATGAATATGTCTCTAATTTTGAACGTGCAGCCTATCATACAGCACAACTTATATGGATACATACCTGAAAAGTTGGAGAGTGTACCAGACCTATGTTTGATGGCACAGTTACCTGGCAAAGAATTGGACAACAGCATAATGTCTGTCTGCTTTGTAATACCTGTCACCCATAGCTGCTCCATTCCATTATGTTCTCCTTATGGAAAAACACTCAGAATGAAAACAAACACTCCTATATTGGAAACAGCCCCGTGTCTAAGCATTTAACAGTCTCATGGTAGAGGGATATTTATCCCCTCCCCACTCTTCCCACTTCAATTTGTGCCACTCTAGAAGTTCTGGAGACCATCCCCTCTGTACCATGCTGAAAAGTCTCATAACTTCTACAGTGTCTTTGGATAGGGCAACAGCCAGGGAAGAAAAGAAATGCATTTGTTTGTTATGAACAGAATCACCTTTTGCTCACTCATGGGAATTTTTAGATCTCATCTATTGTATAAAGCAATCTAGCCTGAATTTGATATGTTGCATTGTAAGCTATATTTAGATGTTGAATCAGAATGCATGTGTGCTACTGACAGGTAATAGTACACTGCAATGATATAATTTATAAGAAACAATGTACTGGAACAGCCCTATCCTAATTCTCTGTTCAGTGAAGTCTATGGTAACCCATAAAATGAGACAGACTCAGCTTCATTATTTGTTAACAAGATACACAAATTGTGCATTTCATATATTATTCTTCTCTTACAGACTTTGCTGATCAGGCTGATGAAGATCAACTAAATGCTTTAGGATTTCAGTTATTAGCTGGGTCCAAAGTCACTTTACTTGCTTCAAAAACATCACGTGAGTACCTTGATTAAGTGAAGATCTTCACATGACAATATTGTCACAACAAATTGTTTACGGTTTAGTAGTTTCTATTTATATCAGATTCTTCAGGAATTTTCCCAAGGATCTGAATTCCATTCATTCAATGGGGTGGGGGGATTCCCAAAAGATGTCTGGTGTTAATTGATGATAATCTGATGTCTTCCAAACAAAGTGCACACACTTATCTTTTAAACATAATTAAGGGGGTTAGATCACCAACTGGATCGCATACTTTCAGCTTCTTGCACCAGAATTCCCTTGCCCTTACACTGATGCTCTTCTCAACGGTTAATACTGAAGAGAGACCATAAGGCACATTTGTAAAATACAGCTTTGTATGCAGAAAGTTACCAGTAGGGCTTGCAAAGATTTGAAACCAATTTAAGAAATATGCCAGATATTTATTTATTTATTATTTATTTATTTATTAAAACATTTCTATGCCGCCCCAAGGCTTCGGCGAATGGGGCGGCTCACAACATAAAGTTAAAATACAAAAAATAACAATATAAAATAAGTCGCCCTGGCCAGATAAAATAAGCATAATATTAACAATTAAAATGATGCTTAAATAAAAAGGTCTTCGCCTGGCACCGAAAAACAAATAACGACGGCGCCAGGCGGACCTCTCTGGGGAGCGCATTCCATAGATTGGGCGCCACTGCAGAGAAAGCCCTCCTCCGAGTACCTACGCTCCTAATTTCTTTCACAGAGGGTTCCCGGAGAAGGGCCTCTCCCGCCAATCTCAAGGGGCGGGCGGGCGTATATGGATGTAAGCGCTCCTTCAGGTAACCAGGACCCAAGCCGTTTAGGGCTTTATAAGTCATCACCAACACCTTGAATTGGGCCCGGACTTCAATGGGAAGCCAGTGAAGCTGACGGAGGACTGGAGTCATGTGAACATAAGAGCCTGGCAGCTCTATTTTGAACCAATTGAAGTATCCGGACCATCTTCAAGGGTAGCCCCACGTAAAGTGCGTTACAGAAGTCAAGGCGGGAAGTCACCAGCGCGTGCAGGGCTACATGTCAGAGTTGGCTATATAGACTAATGGCCTAGCTCACTAGAAGTCAGTTTAATATGTTCTATAATGCTTATATCAGCACAGCACTAAGGTTAAAGTTAACCATGGTGTGCCCTAACTTGTGACTGGTGATCATGTTGCCTCTTTTTTAGATTGATTTGTCTGCAATCATCAAACTGGTCTCAGAGACTAAAGCATTTTGTGGATATGCATATATTAATGTGTTACATTCCAGCAGGCTAGGATCTCTCATCAGGCCATCAAAGATGGACGTTTTAAGCCTTGCCATTTCTAAATGACTCCCTTTACAATATCGGAAAGGGAATTCATATGATATTTTATTAATAAAGCCTAACAAATCACAATTCATCCTTATAGCATTTAGCTACTGTTAGATTGTTAAAATGTTTTCTCTCTCCCACTCCCACCTTTTTCCACCTCACCTGCTGTTGCCTTTTCTATGTAGTTGTTGTATTTGTATGGAGCTCTTCTTCCTCTGAAGTGCATTTTCAATTTCTGAACTGTGTTAACTGTCTTAAAGGCTGTAGGTTTCTGTGTTGGAGGAGCAATGGTACAAAACATGTTTTCTTATTGAGGAACCAAAATATGCTGACCTATCCAAAGAGTTCCTCTGTGCTTGCTCTAGGAGTTAGGCATCCTTGGTGTGATCTTGACTTAGTGTCTTTGAACCTCAAACCCCCATGTTGACACACAGCTGCTTTTAAAAATCACCTCAATTTCAAAGACAGTGTGCCATGTATCATGGATGGCTGCTGTTTGAAAAATACAGTCCCAAAGCTCTTTTGAGCATACTATTTTTGTTTGAAGCTCTATTAAATGGTTACATTAAGCTTATTTTTAAACATTCATGAAGTGAATAGCATTCTCCCAAGTTTCTTTACAAAATTAAATGAACTACAAGTACCAATAATGTATGGGATTTAGAATGATGTGTGAATATTCAAGAGCCTCTATTCCAGTGGTACAGATAGAGATGCTGTACAGAAACATCTAGATTTGGTGGTTTGTGAATTTTTCTCTGATAAACAGCCTCTTTAAACTGTGTAAGGCTTTTGTATCTTTTAGCATAAATCTTCTGATGGGAAACATCTGGACAAGTAGTTATTTAGAGACTCTCACGGTATCAATTAATTTACTTTTACAGGCTTCATTTCTATTTGTGTTTGATTGTGTGAACATTCCTTGACTGTTGTATGGTAATTTTTAATATTTGTTTAAGTTGACTGTAAAAATGTTTAAACAGTTGAAGTAACTGGAACATTCCATAGCAAAGATCTGAGAAGACTTTTTATGTAAAAATAGTTTTACATATGAGTTAAAATTAGAACTGGTTACTTGGATTCTTGTTTTACCGAATTGTTAACTTAAATGAAGTACATGTGTGAACAAGGCCTCAGCTGATAGAAATCAGTGTTCATTCATTGATGGAAGGAAAAGAAGCTTTTAGATTATCCCACCAGAGGCTTGGGCTAGCTGGAGTGTGTTGCAAACTTGTACCTTAAGGAGTGCTTAATCTTACCATCACATGACACTCTTCTCTCCCACCAATCATTTTCTTCTCCATTTGGGTTTTGTTTATTCACAGATCTGTTATGATGCCTACAATCTCAGTATAAGCTTTGCCACGGTACTACTGCTCTAATATTTGGCATGATTTGTTCTAGATGTTTCTGTAGTCTTATTCACACACCTGGGAGTAAGTCCCATTGATCATTTTGGGGCTTATTTCTGAATAGCCATGAGTAGGATTGCACGGTCGATCTACTTGCCCATGTATGCATGCTGCTCTACTTTTTTGCTTGCTGTGACTTTGCAAATATTACAGGATTTGTTGGTGACAACTAATTTATTTTTTGAAATTATTTTTACACTGATTCCCCTTGTTCTGTTTGGTTAAATTCCTTTCTGAAGCAAATTGCATGTCTGCCACTTTTGCTGCCCTCCATTTTGCACAGCTATGCATAATGAGTACAGAACAAATTGAATATATGCAGAACAAATGGAACCTGTAAAATGGTTGCAATGTACACACAACCCGTGAAAGGAGTACTGTTATTCAGAGTTCCAGCCAATCTGGAACAGTAGTTTTGCAATACTGTTCAGTACTTGAGGAATGGGTAGTTTCAGAGATGAGGGGAAGGGAAAAAGGACACTTGAGTCCCATGCCCCCTGCAACCCACTGTTACACCATTCAAGTAACAGATATTAATAACTCCTGTCTGAGACCCTACCGAGCCAGAGTAGACAATGCTGGATCAGATGAACGTGTTCCTATAGCAATATTATTGCTCCTTAGCTAGGCAGATTAGTTCCAAAGAGTGGACGAGGGAAAAAGTATCCCTTTCGTGCTTCTTTCTCCTGAAACATCCCTGTGCAGTTAAGGGAGGATTTTAGGTCATAGTGTGCACTACGTCTGCAACCCTAATCCCTGGGATAGTATTAACATTCAATTAACAAAAAACATATTTTTGTTTAACACAATTTCTAAAACAATTTCCATACTTGCTCAGGCCCTGATAGCTTGAAAAAGTGTGTGTTATTTGAGCAATATACATACAGTGTGGTATTGAATTCTGATAAAGTTGTACCTGTTAAATTTCTGCCTGTTATGCACTTGGTATCAGTACTGATCCTCTGGCCCTTGCAAGGAGCTCAGCAACCCTTTCTTTGTGTGGGATTCAGGGTTGGAGGATTTGTAAAAAAACAAATGGCAGCACTGGGTCTCAATGCCATTGATATAAAAATGACAGCACATGAAAGAAAGGGCCATTGTAAGAAGCACTTCTGGCCTTATAATACCTTTGTACACTAAAGTTATAGAGAAGAGAAATTGTGATCATGGTCACTAACTTAGGGAGCTGTTTAAAAAGAAAGCAAGAAAACTAATATGCTTAAAGGAGTATTAATACTTAAAGGAGTATTAATTTATGCTGTAGTTTCTCTTCTCCCCTTAACCCCCACAAGCACCATTCTATCCGAACTGGCTAACCTTACTTGACCTAATAACCCCCATTTCCCTTCTATGTTGTCTTCCTGGTAATCAACCAGATTTACTCTTGTTTTGCTCCCCGCCCCCACCCCAGGATCATTTTGAGCATTTTTGGGGGCATACTTTAAGATTTGTCATAGTAAAGAATGGGCTGACAGGAGGGGAACCACATTTTAAATTAAAAAGCAAAGTTAAATGGCTGCTCTGGTATACTATGTGCTGGACCTTCCCCTGACCAGACACAATAAACTGTACTGTGAAAGTTTCTGTACTAATGGTGTTTTGAGCTGATAAAGTTCAATATTACTGAAGTCTATGAGAAAGAAAATAGGTAACACTTGTCAAACTTTAAATTTATATAAACAGTTTATCACCAGTTTTTCTTGAGAATCAACACAACTGTCTTCAAACTGACCTGTTCTCTATTGCCAAGGCTCAGAACAATCCATTTACTCATTTCCTCATTCTAAGCTGTAGAACCTACTTCCTCTCTGATTTTTGTTTCTGGTAATGAAATCTAACTTAGCCTTAACACAGAACCAAAACTATATTCATGCAATCATAATTAAATCCTTTGAAAATATATCCTGTTTTATACAATGTTAGGCATCTATTTTGATGCTACTTATGGGAATGTTAAGAATGGCTGTTTTGGTATTTTAATGCTTCTAATTTGGGCCACAAGACTACTTTTATTTAGTGTCCCAAATAAAAATAAACTTAGATTACTTTAAAAATCAGTCATGTTTCTGTGGCTTACCCACAGAAACTCATTTTTGCAGTATTTTGTTATCTTCCCTTGCATATGAATCTTTTGGAAAAATTAATATTTACTTTAAAATATTTTTCCTCGAAAATTATAAACACACTAATTGCAATCACAAGAAAGAACAACTCGCTTTCTGATTTTAGTAGAACTATGCAACTAGCAATGCAATCCTATGGCTGCTAGAGACTATCTGGACAGCCATAGGGTTTTTTGGAGCTCCATTTATGCAGTTGGAAAAGCACTCTGATTGTATAGCTTGGAATGCTCTCCTTACTCACACAGAAACAGCTATACATCTGTTTTGTGACCTCAGAAAAGGGCTTTAGGGTGCATTACGGGGGGGGGGGGAGGCAAAGACGGATGCTGCCATAATATGAAGTAGTCTTATGATGATTCAGCCTCCTTTCCTCATGCTCTGAGGAACAATACTTAAACGTCTGAGATCTCCTAGCTTACTGTTCTGCAGGACTGAAAGAGCACAGAGGCAGCCTTGACCTCTCTGTTTCTTCTGCCGTGCACAGGATACCTATAATCCTGCAAATTCAAAGGGTTACAACAGGCATCTAGACTGGATTCTGCCACAAAGAACTTTAATTTCTAAATTAGATATTTTTCTGAGTTTTCTTCAGATTGTAACTTCATGAAGTTACATCATCAACTACACCTGTTGAAGTTGAATCAAATTATTTATTAGTATTCTTCTTACCACTAAACTGAGCTCTTTATACTATTTTCTGATTGATCAACAAGTAATTACCTTAGTTTTGTGCTAAAATGATTAATTTTAGGTAAGGGATGATTAAAGTTTTGTTCAAGTAAGTCTAGTAATTATACCAGAAATACCTAGAAATAATGAAAATAAGATTGAATATTATCATTAACTGTTGGCTTTCTACTTTTAAAGGGGCAAGTTTTTAAATTAAACCTGCCAATTTTCCTTGTATCTTGTAAATAAAATTTGTTCTTGTCCCATCAATGATATGTTTTTGCTGGGAATTATGCCAATATAAGTTTATACAATCAGATTATTAATCTTATGGAATTGTTTAATAAGAAGCAATTTTTTGACTTGGCCAACCTTCTGCCAGGTAGAATACTATGATTAAAATCTGTTTTTTAAATTCCTACCATCCCTCTTATTTTTTTTCCTCACAGCCATTCTTTCAAATGTATCAGATGAATTAATATGGATACAGTATTTTCTGAAATGTCTTGAAACCATCATCATTCTATAAATAGTACTTTCAGTGACCATTTTGAATAAAGGGATGAAATGGATGCAGCCTACATCAACCACAAAAACTTTCTTATAGTATTATAGAAGGAGCAAAATCCCACACCATGAAGTATATGAAAATGATATGGGGAAAGTGCAGGGGTTTTTGCACATTCTTAGTTAATAAAAGTATCCCTCAGTCATATTCTGGTTTTCAGAAGATAAGTCCAGTAGTAGGGCAATTTTTAATTGAATGTATGTTCTACACACCAAAAATGGTGCTCAAATGCCTAATGTTAAAAAATAGAGATTAAAAACAAAATCTAAACTAAAAACTTAAGATCAAAGCAAACAATTAAAACGTAACTGAAATATAATAAAAGAAAGGAAAAGCACCTGACTGTCCCCCTCTCCTCTGAGTAGTAGACCAGTTTGAGTGCTAAAGGTCTGTTTTTGTAGCGAGGGAAACATGCTCCCTATAAGCAGCCTTCGTTCATATCCAGAGAGCAGCATTGTGGACCAGCTGAAGCTTCTGAATACAATTAAAAAATAGTTCCATGTGAACTATCCATGTGAGTGTTACAGCCAATCAAATGGGATGTAGCTAAGGCATGAGTTATGTGGCCAGATCAGGAATAGTATCTATATAAGATGACTGAAGTAGATTATAGCTAGTAGATTATAGAGTTTTGCCTTTAGGGAAGAAGTGCATAGACCATGAACCACATGTTTACTGCTTTCCTTCCACTTAGAGGAGTTTCTGGGACAGGAAGGAAGGTTTAGTTTCCCAAAGCAGCCTGGATTATGGCTTCTACACTGCTAATGTTGATGGAGCAGCAGTGTTCTAAATTGGAGTTGCAAAGGGAGGTGGGAGAGGATTTATGGTCTGATAAATTTTGTTCTGTAAATTCTTTACTGTGAATATTTTAATAGTTTTGATTAAGTGAAAACTTGAGAATACAGTGAGTAGTCTTATCATTGCTTTAGAATACTTTAAGTGCTATTTTAAATATAATATTTCTAATTGCTTCTATATGTAGAATAGATTGTGAAGAATAAATAGTTAATGAAAATAATTATAAATGCAACTGCATGAATAAATATTGCAGAAACGAATTATACAGGTAGGAAAATTACTATATTCAAAACATAAGTTTAATAATCTATCAATGAAGAAAACACTTTCAAGAATAGCAACAGATAGTAAGTGAGGACTAGTCAACTAATATTTTTTGTTTTTGTTTTAATTATGAAGAGCGTTACAGAATTCAAAGCGAACAATTAGAAGACATTTGGCTAATTACAAAAGAACTCACACTTCGTCTTGATGAACATTTTAGGAAACAAAACTGCAAAGACTTTGCATGTAGTTTTTCTGGCCCAATTCCCTTACAAGAATATTTTGAGATAATTGATCACCATTTCGAGGTATGATTATTATCGTATATGGTTTTTTCTTTGTATTATTCAATTCTCATGGCTTCTGTAGGTGTAACTTTGACCCATTATCATAGCTGATATTAAATGGCCTTTCTGCACAGATCCATTCATTAATATGGTGTCTGGGGTGGGTTTTTATGCAAGCACATGCATGTACAAAATGTCCATACTGCGCATACTCATTGTGACAATTCTATAAGTCCTCTCAAAGGTTTAGACATCCTGTCAACTCTGCTAGGATTTGAAGGAATGGCTACAGTGATCAGCTCACCACCTACAATCCACTTCATAACTGAGCTCAAGGAAGATTGAAATTTGCTAAGAGTTTGCTGCTTGATTTGCTGCCTCTGTTATAATAACCTTTGGCAAATCAAGGCAATATTAAAATACTATTAAAATGCTTTCTCAAAAATACTGGAGATTGCTACATTGCAAGATAATTAAAGACAGCATTATGAGTTAAGGTATTTAATTGGCATCTGATATATAATGAAGGCAGCAATCCTATAGATAGTTACCTGGGAGTTAGTTCCATTAAATTCTGTGAGGTTTGCTTCTTAATAAATATGTGTAGGATTGTACTGTAAGATCTGTTTTGAATCTTAGCTCCTCTAGGAGATATAAATCCATCCTTAACACTACATAGCACTTGAAACAGTTTAAAATATAATGGTATTTTTCCTGCTGTAGAAAGTATAATATCATTTATTGAACATATACACTGCACTACCAGCATATCAAAATACTCTATAACCTGCTGTTGATGAATTAATTTCACCTCTGTCATGAAAACACATAGTAAGATTATCATGCATTAGTTTAGATTATCTTGGCTGTCAACAATTACTTTCAGTTTTGGTAATAGCTGTTATTATTCTAACCTGTTAGTACATACTGTGATGAGTGTGAAATTACTAGTCTTCAGATTGGCTACATGACCATAGTAAAACCTCATTAAAGTTTCAAAAAATGCAGTGCCTCTGCAGCTTTGCTATAAATGTGTGATTGAAAAATATTTTTACATTCTGAAATATTCTTAACTCTTTCCTTTGCAAACCTTTCTAAATTATAGCTGCGTCTGAATGCTGCAAAATATGAACAACTATTATCTGAAAGAGCCATACAGTTTAGAGCTATTGAACGACGACTGCTGGCACGGTTTAAAGATAAAACCCCAGCTCCTCTTCAACATCTGGACACCTTGTTAGAAGGAACTTACAGACAGGTCAGTATAGTTCAGTTATGAGCCTGTTCCTTTTAATATTTTCCCCCACACCAAACATATCTTTGTAAAATACATAAACCATACCTTCCTGGTTACATTTACCAGCTGAGATACCATGGAATAGTAATTTGTTTAACCTAATACTCCCTGCAACTTTCCAGATGAACTGCAGTGGTTTGTGTTTGATCTTCGGATACAGAATTGCTACTCAAAGGTCTTGCAAACTTTGACAGTGCATCATTCTTTCCAAGCTGGAATAGTTATGTGAAAATATTTTATAGTTCAGAGCTTGTGTAAACATTTATGGTATACTGTAAACTGGTGGAATGATTTAACTGATGTAACATCCACAACAAAATAATCTGAGACGAACAGTCTCCTTTTGCAAATGTATTTACATCCTGGTTGTTTTAAATGCTGGTGTAATTGAAAGCAAACTGACTAGTGTGCTGTTGCAAAAGAGAATACAGTTTGATAATACCACTCTTTATTAGGAACATACAGACATAACACAACCCTGTTGTCTTAATGCAACCTACTATATCAGATTTGGTGGCCACATACATTTGGTACTTTAAAGTTTACTTAAAGTTTCAATTCTCCTACTTATTTACAAAACTTTTCTTGTAGTTGTGTCTGTGAAAAATCTATAGTCTATATAATGAGCACAATATGTGTGAAAACACTTTATTCCTTGAATCTAAATTAAGTTCAGAGAGGTTGGAATGATTTGACCAGAGTACAAATGCTGCATAAATAACAGGAAATATAGCAAGTTGTGTTTTTAATTTAGGCATCTTTGTTTGCACATAAGAAGGCTGGGAGAAGTGAAGGCATAGAAATTTTATTCTGAGTCACTGACTTTTTTTCTAAAATTTTAATATTGCATGCATATAAGGAAGTTAATTACTAAACTTCCTTAATGTGAGCTGGAGGAGTGGCTTATGCAATCTTTACCTCCCTCTTCTCCATCTCTGTATTTCTATACATGGAAACATAAGAAAAGCCATGCTGGATCAGGCTAAAGATCTATCTAGTCCAATCCTCTGTACACATGATGGCAAACCAGCTGTCCACTAAATCCTTCAAGCAGGATGGGATACAAGATCTTCTCCTGTCCAAGCTCCTCAGCAACTGGTGTATGCAGGCATGTTACTTCTGGTAAAGGAGGTAGTACTTAGCCAGCAAGGCCAGTAGCCACTGATAGCTTCCATCTCCATGAACTTATCCAATGCCCTTTTAAACCCATTCATAGTGGAGCTCATCACCACTTCCCATGGCAGTGAATTCCATAGTTTAACTATAAATTCTATGAAGTACTTCCTTTTATTTGTCCTAAACTTCCCACCAATAAGCTGCATGAAATGACCCCAGGTTCTGTTATGGGAGAGAGAGAAATGTCTCCCTCTCCACTTTCTCCACATCATGCATTACTTTAATTCGTTTCTCACCTTTCTCATGTCTCCTCTTACTTATTGTTTGTCTAAGCTGAACAGTCCTAGTTGTAGCCACTCCTCATAAGGAAGTTCCTCCAACTCCTTGATCATTTTAGGTGTCTGTACATTTCACAACTCAATAATGTCCTTTTTCAAGTAAGGTGACTAGAACTGTACACAATGTTCCAAGTGTGGCTGTATCAACGATTTGTATAAGGAGAGTGAGATCTTGGCAGTTCTATTTTCTATTCCATTCCTAATTATGCCTAGCATGGAGTTTTCCTTTTTCGCAGCAGCTGCTCACTGGGCCAACATTTTCATCAAGCTGTCTGCTGATTTCTTGCTTAGTCACCACTAGCTCAGATCCCATCTGCCTATACTTGAAGTTCTGGGGGGTTTTTTTGTCCCAATATACATCATTTTACACTTGCTTACATTGAACTGCTTTTGCCATTTTGTTGGCTATACTCACAGCTTGGGGAGATCCCTTTGAAGTTCCTCACAGTCCCTTTTGATTTTAACCTCCCTAAATTGATACTATCTGTGTGACCCCCTGCCAATATCTAGTGGCCACAGGATCACTCCCAAAGGAAGATTTTTAGGGTAGTTGGAAAAGAACTTTTCAAATAGAAACCCCCCCCCCCCCGGTAGCCCCACTGGTATTCAGCAGGTAGCAACTGTGATGCATGTTAGGCCCCTGTCAATGACTCATCCCATTTTCTAGGTCTTCCCTGATCAATTGTGCTAATCATTTGTGTTATTTGTACTTTTGAGTGATTGGTTTTAAGTGATGAGTATTTTTATTTATTGTGATGGATTTTAATGTCTGGTTTCGTAACCCAGTTCAGAATATGTCAAATGACTGATCAATGGACTGAATATGCAATTAAATACTTAAAGTAATATGCATAATGTATTGCATGAATCTTCCATGGCAGTTCTTCTGTGACAAGAACACTGAACAGATAATGCCAAGTGAATTGGAATTGTGGGTATATCGTCAACCTAACTGCAGTGTAACCTTTTATTTTAAACAAATGTGGATTTTGTTTTAGCAAGCATTCCATACAATTGGCTCTATAATTGGCTGCCAAGGATCATCCATGAAAGCGTCTACTTGAAAGATAAACCATTTTGTTTTGAAATTTATGTGACTACAGATCAACATTTATGAAAGCAATAGGATGCTAGTTGTATGATTTCTTGATTCACTCAGCAGTGACAGCCAGGTCACGTCGCTTCCTAGAAGCTATAGAGGGAGGGTTTTTCACACAGAGGGTCCGAGAGGAGATAAGGGAGGGTGAGTATCCTTGACTTGATCTTGACCAACAGAGAGGAGCTGATAGATGAGGTACAGATTAGGGGAGCTCTGGATGTGAGTGATCACTCCATCCTTTGCTTTGAGATCAGGGGAATGGGGATGTGCAGCAGGTCGAGCACTAGAAGCTGGGACTTCAAGAGGGTCAACTTTGGCCAGACTGGGGAAAGTCTCCTGGGATAGGTTACTGGAAGGCAAGGGAGTTGAGGGGTGGATGGCACTCAAAAGGGAGGTTTTGGAGGCACAACACCCTTGGTGATACCTCTAGTTAGTAAGGTGGGGAGGTGAAGGAGAGTGCCGCCATGGATGTGAAGAGGTGGTGGTTAGAGGGATTAGACACAAGAAGAACCTCTGTAGGAAATGAGTACAGGGGCAAATAGACAAAAGGGTATACTGGGAGGAGAAGGCCCGTTGCAGAAGGATTCTTCGCAAGTCTAAGGATGATTACAAGCTGAGACTTGCAAAGAATATCAAGAGTGACAAAAAGGGCTTCTATCAGCATGTAAATAGCAAGAGGAAGGGGAGACAAGTAGTGGGACCGCTAAGGGGATCCAGTGACTGATACGAGGGAACAGGCACAGATGCTAAATGACTATTTTGCCTCTGTGTTCTCTCCAAAGCAGAACGGGGGAGATCCGCATGGGAGATTAGTTGAGGTCGGGGACTTAGGCCTACAGATTAGAGTCACCCCCCCTAGAAGTCAAGGGGCTCCTCAGGGCATTGGATGTTACAAAGGCACCAGGCCCTGACGGGTTACACTCAAGAGTTGGCAGGGATTCTCTCATGCCCACTGGCCTCCATTTTTGAGGCCTCATGGAGAATGGGTGAAGTTCCAGAGGACTGGAGGGTGGCATCAGTAGTCCCAATTTTCAAAAAGGGTAGTAGAAGGGACATGGGGAATTATAGACCAGTTAGCCTTACGTCCATTGTAGGAAAAACAATGGAAAGGCTCATAATAGTGAGAGATCTAGTGATGCTAGATAGGGAAGGTAGGCTGGTGATCACACAACACGGCTTCCGCAAAAACAGGTCCTGTCAGACAAACCTTGTGGAATTCTATGACAAGGTTTTGAGCTGGCTAGATGGAGGGGATGCAGTGGATGTGGGTTTACCTGGATTTCAGCAAGGCCTTTGACAAAGTGCCCCATGATATCCTGGTTGAGAAACTGAGGAGTTTTGAGATAGACCAAAGCACTGTCTGATGGATTATGGCATGGTTGACTGACTGAAAGCCATGGGGAATCATCGGACTGGTGGCCAGTGACAAGCGGGGTCTCCCAGGGCTCTGTCTTTTAATCTTTTTATCAATGACATGGAAGAAGGGGTGAACAGTCTGCTGATCAAATTCGCAGACGATGTTAAAACTGGGGCAGTGGCCACAACTGAGGAGCAGGTACTGCAGATCCAAACGGATTTGGACAGACTGTGAAAGTGGGTAGGAGACAACAGGATGGTGTTCAGGAGTCAGCAGTGTAATGCGGTGATCAAGAGGTCAAATGCCTTCCTTGGTTGCATAGCCAGAAGTGTGGCTTCTAGAAGAAGAGAGGTATTTCTACCACTCTATACGACTCTGGTGTGCCCGCAACTGGAGTATTGTGCTCAGTTTTAGGCCCCTTATTACCGGAAGGATATAGCCAGGTTTGAGTCAGTGCAACGTAGGGACACAAGGCTGTGGCTGGTTTGCAGGGGAAGCTGCATGAGGCGAGACTGAGGGAACTGGGTCTTTTCAGCCTGGAGAAGAGGAGACTCAGAGGGGATCTGTTGGCAACATACAAGTATATGAGGGGGTGTCACATGGAAGTGGGTAGAGACCTGTTCTCCCCTGCAGAGGAGGGCAGGATACGCTCCAACGGAGCAAAGCTCAGGGAACCAAGGTTCAACTTAGATGCCAGGAAGTACTTCCTGACAGTTAGAACCCCGAGGGTATGGAATGGGCTTCTACGGGAGGTGGTGGAGTCCCCATCGGTGAGAGTGTTCAAGGACAGGCTAGACATACACATGATGGGCATGTCATGAGCGGAGTCGGCTGGAGCCAAGGGTCAGACTAGATGGCTCGGGAGGCCCCTTTGACTCACTCTGTTTCTATGTTTACTTCTCCCCTCCATCCATATATATGCCCAAGCTTATATCAGGACATTATTGATTTTATATCCAATTTCTGAATAAACAAACAGTTTGATGTTGGATATTAATTGTCAATATATTTTTAATGTTCAGAATTATTGGCATTCAACTACTTAGTACCA